GTATAAGAGCCGGCTACCGCATCTGAATGTTCTTACAATTTCGAATGAAATTCTGATTGGTAAGCATCCATGTAACTCCAATTCCAAAATAAACTTTAGCTCTGGCCGCTTTTTTTCTGCAGATGTATGAAGGTGGGCAAGTGGGTTATGAAGCTGTTTTTTGGATTCACTCAATGACTTTGTGGCGTTAGTTTTTTACTACCAATTCTCTGTGTGATTTCTTTGATTGGTGTACATGCTGCTCTCCTCTTGTCTACCTCAGACTTTGACGTTTTTTCTTTATCTCTGCTCTTGTCACACCTTCCAGTGTGCCAGTATAAAAGTAAATCGCGTATTTCTCCTTCCTCCGTTAGAAATAAACCCCGCCGCTGTAGAAGTGTCACCTGTTATATACTAACCTATTGATTGTTAGCTGTGTCGTCCTGGTGAAGACGCATGGTTTCTGGTATTTCCAACCTCTGTGCAAGTGGATAAACATCACATTCATCGTGAATAAAAGGAAATACACTCACGTTTTGATTATGTGAAGCACTGTTTTCGAAGTTGTGTTTTTAGGCTGCGATACCACACTTGCATGTAAACTACTTCAAACTCCTCTTCATATATGCGCTATTCACAATGTGCCTAATGTTGCAGCATTATTATTACGCAATAGGTACATTATGCTAGGTGAGTAGTATCTGCTCTGTTTCTTTTTCGCACTATTTCTTTCCCAGCGAATTTCAGATAGTGCTGACTCTCGAGGATGCACTGCTTTACACCATGCAGCCTACCATGGTCACGTAGAGGTTGCTGAACTACTGCTGAAAGCTGGGATTAACATGGCTGCCGTGTGAGTGGGCGGTTTTCTAGACTTATTTTTTATTCGCTTGCAAGAAGCATTTATTATCCCTTTTTTTGATGAGCTTTTGAGCACCGCCTTGAATACCATGAAATTGAACCAATTTAGTGACAAATTGGGTCGTACTGCCATGCATTCGATGGCATGTGGAGGCAGCCTTGGAATGTTGGCGGTATTACGCGAAGCAGGCGCGTCGATTACCGTCCGTGATTTTCATGGACGAACTGTAGCCCATTACTCTGCCATGGCATCCCAGGCAGACCTATTAGGTGGGCTTTTAGGGATAGTATTCATTTTTATGACTATTTATTTTCTTCATTTGTCTTCATTATCGTCGGAATTTTCACATTCTGGGCAGCAGTAAGTACTCTCGTAGTATACCATTTCAGTAACTTTTTCGATTGAAATTTGGCATTTTTGAAACTCATTCTTTGACTGAGTAGGTCTTTGATTTGTGGTCTTTTAGGAGCTCTACTGAAGATCGATAAGAATTTCATTAATGCTAGGGACAATGACGGGTATACACCTCTGCACTATGCGGTACAAAATGGTCAAAATGTGAAGACAATCGATCTGTGAGTGAGGAATCGTTTTTGAACAGATATTTTTCGTCCTAGCTAGCAATCAAGTATGACCACAAGGATGCGTGCCTGTGCGTCAAGCGTTCAGCTCGTAGAATCTTCTTTCAAAGTTGCTGTTACTATCGGGCAAGGTTCGTTCACGGTTCCGGGGTCCGGGATTAGAAGATTTAGTCAGTGAGACAACTGATGGTGAGCAATGAATAAAGAATCACCGAAATGATGCGAAAGAGCTGTCCGCATTCGAGTTCTGCAGAAGGCCAAGAGTCTGAGATGACGAGGAATGGCGTAGTTCTCGACAAAATGAACGTTTTGTATCCAGAGTTCTTTTTCCTGATTCCCAGGCGCGTTGTCCCAAATTGCTCCGAATGTCGCATTCTATCAATAAGTATCCAATTCTTCCCGTAGTTCCACCTTTTTTCGACTTCCGGATTCTTCTAATACACAGATTACCTAGTAAAAATTTATTGCTCCATGCCTTTTCGCACTTTCAATTCGGCACATGGCCATGAAAGGAGGGAGCTGAAGTTTCCAGCAATTTCCTAGGTTTAATTAGGGTCGCTCTATTGGACAGGCTTAGTGCTGCAATAGCATAGTCACGGAATCGAGTCCTTTTTCAAGCTGAACGTTTTGCACATAACTCAGCATCCTAGGTCATCCGAGGTCAGAAAATCATGTATCTTATTTTTCAGCCTCGTTCAAAGCGGTTGCGATGTTGCTGCGGCCGCATGTGATGGTACAACTCCATTACATGTGGCTGCTTCACTAGCAGAATCAGCAAAGCCGATAGAGTACTTGATAGGTGTAAGTTTAGTTAAATTCGGCAGCTCTGCTCATTGTATGTAGCCATTTTTTCTACTTGTTTGCTAATCTACTGGTTAAAAGTTATAGTGTGAAGGCATTGATCTTAATGCGAGGAATGCAGATGGAATGACGCCGCTCCATTTGGCTAGTGAGTGGACAAAAGTGTCACGAGTAGACACTCTTATCAAAGGTTTGTCGTTTCTGCAAAATTTCAGTTTTGAATAGTATCTTGGAGAGTTAGCTGGAAACAGCGAGAAAGTCACTTCCCCTTCATCATATCCTGCTTGCGTTTCTGGTTTTCGCGGGTATGCCAGTTCCCTTTGCCTTGCAAATATGCACTCGCATAAGTTGCATAATGTTTTCGACATAGGAAGAGACACACTTTCCAAATGCAGTCAGTTGCATCCAAATCGTGCTATGAGTAGGAAACGGCTAGTTTTAAGCGAAACTGCCTTCTGTTGTTAGCAAAGAGTGCAAACTCTCCACATCGCCTTTCAAACGCTGTCACCTGTTTGCTTTGTTCATCAAATACACGGTATTCTTGGGTGGTCTCCATTCGCTGTCGCCCTTCGTGTTCGGCGGTACTTTTTGCTCCACATCTACTTTATCACATCTTGAAATTCCCAGCTGTGGATTCTAGGATCCACAGATGGAAATTGGTTTCCCCTGTTTTTATTTATGCCGTGAAGGCTACGAGAGGTGGAGCATTTCAAATGGAGCTTCTTTGTTTGAACCGTTGTTAACCTCCCGAGTCGTTTGAAGTCTCGACTTACTAGATGCCAACTTTTTGGTTTTTTGTGTCAGCTCTGAAATATCCACTTTCTTTGAGAACAGCAGGTGTTCTTTTTTGGGGTAAGTAAAAATCAAGAAGTGGTTATTAGAACATATGATTGTGGTTCATTTGTGGTGCTTCAGTTCCGCTACATGTGATATTTTTGTTTTATTGATGTATTACTCGTAGCGTTCTCTTTCCTAACGCATGCGTTGGGGATCAAACTACGCTTTTCGCTGGCTAAGCTGGCTCTGCTCAATGGGAGAGCAAAATTGTCCTCAATCATGGAACCAATTCGCGTGCTACGCATTTGCTTTCGAAGGGAATGTCCGAGATGCTGGATTCTGCGTGTACTTTTCGTCGTCGGCAGCTTATGACGGCTTGCGTATCTGTTTTCTCAGTGTTTGCCTCTTAGGTCATTCGTTGTTTGTCAAGTGGGGTTCTTTCTAGAGAGGGCGGATGAAGAAATCTTTTGTTTCTCAAATTTTCCACGATATCTGCGATTGGTCTGCTTTCGAGCCAAAAGACTAATAGACCTTCGAAAGCCATATGTTTCGGTTCAGAACGGAATCATATGTTGTCCTGGCAATTGCTGGGTCGTTTTGTAACGGAGCATGAATTGAAGATTCTCTCTTTTTACTTGGAACATGAAATCTATTTTAGTCGAACTAAACGTGTCTTCATTTGGATTGAGTGCTAAATGCGATTTTCGTTGTTGGGCAGAAGGTAATGATCAGTGGTGTTTTTTATCCGTGTTAGGTCAGTCTTCCATAGGGGAGGTAAAGACATTTGCGCCCAGGCGCATTGTCGCAAAGTTTTTTCTTCTCAATAGGCTGGCGCCGAACGGGAGTTATGGCAGCAGATATATTCCTCAAAACCCTTTGTGAGGCAAACTCTTGTCCAGTGCGCTATCGTCTTCAAAATATGAAGACTTCCGTCGTCGCCGTCGAGCTAAGGGACCTATAGCCTAAAACCTGGTTTCATCAAACGATGCAGTGGCAGACAGATGTCACAGATGTAGTAGTTGTGAAGTTGCAAGGTCCCCGCCAACCAGCATTTCCGATAACGTCGTAATGGTTCACGATCCGATGAGGAGCTCGTTGTGCTCGACTGTTGTGTCATCTTGCTGTCTCAAATTCTTTTGCTTTTGTTCGTGTAGAAGTCTACTTTGAAGAATTTTCAATTCTCCATATGCTCTCTTCAATTCCAGTAGAATTTCCGGTTCGGCTAAGCAAAGCAGTTTTATTCCAGTTTTAATGTGGAAGGGTTTTAATGTGGAGAGAGATGATTTTTTTATTGCCCCCCCCCCCCAACCTTGGATCGTAATCCATGTCTCAGAAGAGGTTCTTTTACGTCTGGTCGTGTCAGAAGTGCGGTTATTACTTTTATCGCAGTACATACAGTTGATTCTTGTGTTGGTTTGATTCCAGTGATACTTCCCATACCACTGGAAGCACTCATTCTGACCTTTTGTTTTCAGTAGATGTTCGTGTCGTGTGGCACGCATCTGTCATTGTTGTCAAATTCAACGCTTTCGGTTTTCGTCTTGGGAATAAAAATTTCATAACCGAAAACAAGATTTCGATACTGAGCACGACTGCATTTTCCAGAAACGGGTCAAAGGTGTTTCTCCGATTTGGATTTTATGCTTGATCATTTCGATCTTGCCGTATACTTTTTTGGGATAATCGGAAAACAAGCAAAATGTCAACGACAACGAACATCAACTTTATGCACACAATTATGCCATTCTGTTCATGCCATTTCTCCGAAAATGTCAGTTGCTGTAAGCGGAGAGGCGCATTCAGACCTTTATGACTTTTCTGTCGAGACCATCCCACATGTTTCCTTCTAGTTCGCTCTCCAATTCACCCCCACACTTTGCCAAGTGACTTAAATGTGGCGCTGTCCCCCTATTTTGCTGTTTGAAAACAGAATACTTAAAATTCTGTTAGTATGGCGTCATTCGTACGTCCACTGAAATTTTGATGTTTTCTGCGCCTAGCGGAATGATGAAACTAGTTGCGTGAAGCGAAAGCGAGGACTCGGAACGATGGAGCTCGCATGCTGGACCCCTCAGAAGCACATCTTAGCCCCAGTTATATAGATTTAATACGCTATTTCTGTTTGGCTTTTTTTTCATAAACTGTTGGGCTGATTTATCGGAGCATAGAAGTAGAGTTCACTCAAAATCTCGTAAAGGGCTTAACTTCGAATTTTGATATTTTATTCCCATTCATTTTTCATGCATCTCTTTGGCGTCGTCATTTAATGTGACTTTGCATTCAAAGATTAGGCAAGTCTCATTTCCTCTGAATTTGGCGTTAATCAAGGCCACGAAGTGTTTGAGCTTTCCAGCCGGTGCCGAAGTCGATGCGAGATCGCACGACGATGCAACGCCACTGCACTGTGCGGCCAATGTGGTAATCCCACAATCAGCTTTCAAACACTACCACACACACTCCTGAGTCCCAAAGCTGACGTGTAATGCGTTGCTTTTGTTACATTTATATCATTTCTTCTGTTGTCATTATAATCTTCAATACTGGTTTCTATCCTTTTGCAATGTGATTTTGGGTTCCCAGCTACCTTTTCCTTTTTTGTTTCTAGTAATTTATTAAATGTTCATTTCATTAAAGCGAGTGGAGATAAGTCAGGTTTCATTAAAGAGTGTCGCATTTTTTAGGAGGATGAAAGGTGAGATGACGCCCCTTCATCTGGCTGCTTTTTTATTATGGCATCTCACCAGTTGTATCACCCCCACAGCACTATGTTGAAATGGCTCACACACACAAATCCGCCTGCGACACCAGACACACCAGCGACTCCCACACATCGGTACGCACCCACTCCATGCTGCTTCTAGGGCAGTACTATCAGGACAATGGGTGAGTGCTTTAGTCCTATTCAAACTTCATTGGAGAAAGAAGTAAGTTTTCATAGAAAGTTTATGTTTAAGAGAAACTGGCAAAGACTGAGTCAATCGATTGGAATTGATCAGTTCATTTACGACCGACAGTAGATCATTAAATTTCTGCGCATTCTAAGCGATTACTAAATATCATTTTGCGTATTCTTTCTGAGCACAGAGAGACACCCGCGTGAAAATATGCATAAATAAGTAGTTTAGTGCGTTCACTGTTGAGTACCTGGTGCAAAACAAAGCAGAGGTGAATGTGGCGGATAAACTCGGCTACACTCCACTGCACACAGCTGCGTCCAAAGATAGAGAGACGATCAAGTGGTAAAAATGTTTTTTGATCTAAGTTAATTTATTTGGATCGTACTTCTGTAGTTTTTACTGGATTCTATGCTAGAAGCGAAATGCTGATTAGTTTGTTCAAGGTCGAAATACTCGTGGACGCTGGAGCTGACGTAGACAAACCGGATATGCGAGGTCGTAATGCGTTGCATCTTGCCGTTTTAACTCATTCGGAAATCACCGTTAAAGTAAGTTTTTTTGGGCGCCTATGGACAAGTTAGGGGGCATTATGGTGGCAGTACATAAGCGCTAACTTTATACGAATTTATACACCTGCTTAGCACACTTCCGTTCATTCCACATGGTGCTGCAGTGGCAGCTGGAGGGCAGTGGAGAGAGGAAGGGAGGATGAGGAAGGGAAGCGAAAAATCTACCGTCATATCATGATTGTGTCCCTTCTACTGTATGAAACACCATTGTGTTGCATACGCGTCACTTCCAGGTGTTGGTGTCACAGGAGGAAGGGACCATAGCGGAGGATAGAAAGCTTGCGCAGGAAAGGAAGGTCCCGGCGGTTGACGGGGGACTAATCTGGTGTGGAAAATTGTGCCTGGGGCGTAGGCGGTGGTGGAGAGACTAGGCTCAGTGACCAATTTTTCCTTTTGAAGTTCCTCCATCTTCTAGGCCTAGCCTGAGAATGACCCGCATCTTGCGATAGCCGCTCCTTTTTATTTTTTTTTCGAAGATTTACACGTGCTTATGCATCTCATTCATGTACTCACCGCTTCCTCTTTCCTTCTTACCATAATAATTTCTTAGGGTGCTAGATATAGGGCCAATGGAAGCACTAACTGGTTTTCCTGCGGTTCCATCCAGTATCATGCGTAGTCGCTCTTACTTTCCTTGATTGAAATCGACGTGCTTTTCGGTGTCACGTAAAATCGACGGAATTGCACAAAAACTCAAATAATTACTTATAAAGGCTTCTGGATTTTTATAATAAACGAATTCAAGAGGATCCAAAGAAAAGCAGGTCTCATAATCCATCTGGAATTTTCTTACGATATTTATGAGGCTCTCATTTAATGCCATTTATAAGTCGTTATAGTAGCATTTCCTTCTTCACGAGAATTTTAAGAAGTTACTCATTGTTATGTAGTGTCGTTGAGGTTTACCACTGAGGCAGATATGTCTTTCTGTTCTGTTCTAGATTCTGCTCTATTTACCCCCATATTTTTAGTGCTGTAAAAATTCCTAAAAAAAATGCTGTAGGCATGGAAAATGTTTGAGCGAAGGAAGTATTGGCAGAATAAACATCGGGGGAGTTTTGCGTAGGGAACCGGCCACCCAGTGGTGCCAGTGGTGAAGATAAAAGTCAGCAGCCCGATTGCGACCGCCTCCAAATTGAAGCAGAAGCATGACAGAGTCTTCTTGTTTCTGAGTTAGTTCGACGCCGCCTCATGGAAGAAGATACGTAGTAGATGGGAGAATCTCAGAGTTACAGTTTGTTCAGCTCCGTCGCTCTGCTCTACCTCATGCCAAATATCGGGCACGCGCACCTTATCTCTATCGCTCTTCATGCTGTCATCCAATTTCTTTTCTCAGCTGGAAGCTTATGGAATTTCTAAGGAAGGGCAGCGACTAGTTTCCTAAATGTAGGCAATTGTAGATATTAGAGGTGTATGTTCGGATGATCAAGCATTTTAGATGAATAACAAAATCGAATTCGAAAAGTAGTCGAAGTGATTCACTAGTTATGGTACAACCTAGGAGAAGATTTCATGGGCTATAGCAAAATTTCAGAAGTTGTGTAGCGCTGACTCGAAAGCAGTTTATCGACAGGATGCCAATGGATACTATCCACTTACACTATGCTGCCTACATAGGAGCTGAACAGATGTGCTTAGATGTGAGGTTCTAGTCTCAATTACTGTTTGCCATGTTAATTTTAGCTGTCTAGCAGGTTGAACAAGTTTTTTTTTCGAAGGGGCTTCTTTCAGCGAGTTGGTAGTCTTTGTTGTGAGGCCGGAAGAAAAGGTTAATGCATTCCTTATATTATTTTTATAGCTATTTGAATGCATGAAGAATATGACAGAAATGCCGACGTCCGGTCTTCCTCGAGGCATTACACCGTTCCATTTAGCAGCTGTAAACAATAGAGCAAAGCCACTTTTACGTCTTGCCAAGGAAGTAGAGGTAAGCAGAAGGTATTCTATACGCCCCCTTTTATCTTATCGATCTAAGATATGACTACTAATTCCCACAATACCAATGTTGCGCTATAAAATAGCGTTTTTTTTTGTTTGGCCATAGCTTTTGTTTATCCGGTGAAGAATTGTCCTATCTGGACATATACGACTTTTTGTTCGTTTTTTTTTCCAAATTTTCTGGCGGTTCGTCAGCGTTTCACAGCTAAATCAAATTTACCTGTACTCTGTTTAGAAGAGAACAGATAAGGCGGCGAAGAAGCGGGTACTAGTAGATCGACCATTGTTTGCTTATACGGATGTGAAAAATCGAATACCATTGCATTACGCGATGAAATATGGTGGGTTTGAGAACATTGCATCCAATTTCTCATTATGTGTAATTGAAATTGTCGTTGTGCTTTGAGAATGCTTTGTTTTAAGGGCATCTCGATCCAACGGCTGTGCTGCTTAGTCAGCAAGGGGCTGAACTTTGTCTGACTTGGCGTGACAAAGATGGTATGTTTTTCATCTTGTTTTATTTTTGTTTAGTGAATGTACAATAATTCCTCTTGAATTTCCAACTTATTTAGCGTATCCTTTCATTTACCGTTTTTTGGTTTAGCTTTTTACGTCAGTTTCTTTTTTTTTGAAATTCAGTGCCGTCATTTAGAAATGACGCCACTTCATTTTGCTGCCGCAAACGGAAAGAATGCGTGCATTGACTGGGTTTTACGGAAATTTAGCAAGATCAGTGTGAATAGGAAAGATGCCAAAGGGAGGTCTGTTGTTCTTGCCTAGCTGTTTTCCAGTATTTAGTTAGTCATGCTAATCAAATGTGATGTTCCACAATGTTTTTTTTTCATTGTCCTTTCCCACTCGTAGCTGAAACTCTTGTTTCTTCGGTCGGAAATAAGTGGTATTTTGCCATAGGATTTGTTGGAGTTATAAAATTTATTGCTCCTCAGCGTCGCTGTTTCTGAATCCAGATGAAATGTTGGATAGCTGCTATATTTGGTTGACATAGTCTATTTGTGAGGTATTTCAGTAATGATGGGAGGAATCTTGTGATGGGTCGGAATTTTATCTGAAATAAACTTAAGGTGGATTTATGAAGATGGCGGGAGACAATGCAAAAACAGTCCATTCAGGGCTAGAGAGATCGCTTATTCCACTTAGAAACCTCGATTCATAGGTGCCCTTTAGTTTTGTTGTTGTTTGGTGCATTTCTTAGATCCTAAGAAATGAGGGAATGGAGCCATTGTTCAGAATTTGATAAGGTGCTTTTTTTCAGTGTTCAATCCTAGAAAATGATGCGGTTACTGTTTTTTGTTCATCTCAAAAGAAAGGCATTTGCTTCTTCTTTATGTTTTTTAGTCACCATTTTTAGGTCATGCGGTATGTTATCACTCACGTCATTATCGGGACCGTTCTGGCCACTGGTGCGGAAGAGCAACCTGGAACGGTGCGATAACATGGGTCGGGGATATTTACACAGAGCAGTTTATTCGCGTAATAAGGAGCTGCTCATAAGAGTGTTGGAGAGATGTAATCCAAATGTCCGGTAGGTTGATGCTAAAATTGAGCGGGTTTTCTCTCCAGAATTAATTTTAATCAGTTCTATGCAATTTTTATCATTTTAAGTGATATCAATGGTGTAACGCCACTTCATGTCGCGGCTGCGGTCGGCGAAAGTGAGGCGGCAATAATGCTGATTCAGTGTGGAGCGAATAGACTGGCGCCGGATAAACGCGGATTTACACCGATTGATTGGGCGGCAGCCTATAACAAAGTGAGCATTAGTGAGGATATCGCTGGAAAAATGAAGGATAATCGTAGTCAATAGAGGGCTATTATGTTGTCATCGTGGGTTCGGGCAGTCTTTGAAAAAAAAAACCTATATTTCTGCAGACGGCTTTGGTGTAGTCAGGAAGAACATACGTCTTTCCTAATTCCTTCTCATCATTATTGTATTGGTAAGCACAGGTCACAGGCATGGCTCATCCCAAAGTATTCGGTTGCCTTCTTTCGTAGCGATCATTTGGGTGTATGGGAGGCATAGGGTCTGCTGATACCCTAATTTTACTCTTGTGGCTCAGCGATAATTAAGACAATGCTTGCCATTCGTACAAGGGTGGACTTGCTCTATTTTGGTCTCCCATTGTAGTGGAAGGCTTGATTGAGCTAATGTCGTCTCCCTAGTGATCCTCTAGATAACAATTTGTTCTTTTCGCTTCACGAACATGCTTCCATCCATTCACCTATTTACTTTCTCATAAGGCTTTTCCGAAAACTTCGTTCCGTGCGTCACGCAATGATGATAGCTATTTGCAGCGAGGAGAAATAAATCGACTTATGATCTTTATTATTTACAGTCACCGTGGTGTTTATTTATTTTTCTTAGTTGGGTGTTTCTTAGTCATCTATTTGTTTACTTATCTATAATGTTCATTTATTTTTTTGTAGTCGAGGCATCTATTCATTTATCTGTCTTCGAGCATCTATTGTTATATGTCGCAGAAGGAGGGTGATATCTGCACTTTTGACTCATCCTCGTTAAAATTTTACTCTTTTTGCAATTCTCTTCTTTGTTTTTTAAGCTTCTGTTCTTCATTTTCTCTGGAATTCGTACTTCTTTGCTGTGCCGAACTCCTCCATCATCCAACTCAACTGACGTTAGACCTAATCTCGGCCAAGCCATCCAACTATTCCGTCTGCGCATCGGTTGTAGAAGTGAATTCATTCAGGCAATGATCACAGTGGGTGGTGGGCAGTGCTATTGTTAATAAGTTATTAAGTAACACACCCCAGCGCTAAGAGGTGGACTAGACCTCTTAGCGCTGGGGTGTATTGGAAACGCCTTTTTGCACCGTTCCACCAATAACATTCAATAATGTCATCAAACCGCAACTTCCCTCCCACTATCGTGATCATTGCCTTCGAGGGATATTGGATTGTACATTCGCTGTCCCGTGCAAGTCACTGCGTGAGC